GGATATATTTTTAAGCCATAAAGCGGAATAATATACCTTGTAAGTTTGAATATCATTGAGAAGCCGGCAAATCAAAGAAACATTCCAGCACAAACTAGTGCATTCTGCACTAGTTATCATATCCTCGGAGAATTTTGGTCCAAGAAAATGAATGGCAGTAAGAATCGAAACTTTGCACCCGATAGTAGTGTGCGTAAAAGACAAATATTCATCCATAGTTGGTGTTATCTTCTCATTCCACCATTCCCATTCTCTCATAAAACCCTCTATCAAATCAAGCCACTGCTCTTGAACAATATTAATTTGTTACAAGAACAAAAAGTAATATTGTTATGAACAATTCGAAAAATTATAATTCCGAAGGCCAGATTCATACCTGTTTAAGTAGAACATGTTTGATGCATCGTCCTTGTTTAATTGCACCGTTTTCTGCCATCTCATTTACAGTGTTAAAAAGTGCAGTAATAAGAATTTCCACTTCCTCACAGCTGTAACTTGCTGTTGGCTCCCACCTATAAGCCATTGAAATTCACATCATATATTTCTCCTATAACAATATCTTCATAGCTCATTAAAAAAAATGAAAGAAATATTTTATATAGGGTAAGAAGGAAACTTACTTCTTAACCATTTCCACGATGTTAAGCAATTCTTCCTTAGAACCATAATCATCAAAGAAATCATCAATTAGTGTTACGAGAATTATGCATTGCGCATATGCTATACGAGCCTCAGATAATTCACGTCCCGATAGAAGGGAAGCGATCAAAAAGTAAGCAGTTTGCATTACACGCCTTCCGAACTTTAGACAGTCCAACCTGTTATCCTTGTACCATCTACAAAAATGTACATATTTAAGTTTTTTGATCAAAACATCAATATAGTTTTTCAAGTGAAAAGGCTATGTTTGATTAATCTATGATGTGGTTAGTATACCTTTCAAGGTCTAGAAGTTCTTTTTGGTGTACAGCGTGGTGCATGTTAAAATCATGATGTGTAAGTACAAGGATGTCTTCATTATCAATACTCGGGCACCTGAAGCCAAAAAATAAATAATAATAAAGATAAAATTATATATATATAAGATCAAAGTTTTGCACTTGGGGGTGGGGGTGGGTGGGTGAGGATATTAAACCATATGACGGCACCTTTGATCATAAATTTTTTACCTGTATGATGTTTTCAAAACTTGAATCTTGTTTACGTCATATAAATCAATGTTTCGCCTATGTCCTAGACGATTCAGCGTGCCATGAAAATTCTTCAGAGTGAATTTCACCTTAAAATTTCCAAAAGATAATAAAAATATTAATCATATACTATGTTGTGTTAATAGTCAGCCAAAGTACAACTAAGCTGGTACAACTTCAAGGGACAAAATGTATATACCTGTTCATGTAACCTCTGGTCAGGAATGGAATTATTTATCAATTGCTGCTTTAAAAACATGCTTGTCCAAGCATGTATTTGATCTAGAATATCTTCGTTTTTGTATAGCTTGAATTGTGAGGTATGAAATAGCTCAAGAACTGTAGTCACTCCGGTGAATTGTAGGCTTACCGTATTAAAGAAATTTTCTTGGTCAGAATATGCCTCAAAATCATCTAAATCAGAGTCTCAAATTAGTTTGGTTATCATAAGCATATAAAAAAATATAGATTATGTGAACTTTTCTTAAAGTAACACCTGAAGTTACTTCATATCCTTTTATTCTCAATAGTCGAAATGCCAAGGCCAAACACGTAATATCTTTGAAAATCTCTTCATCTTTCTCCTGCCAACACCTGTTTGCCAATTGAGTCTATGGTATATGATCAGCACTTGGAAAATTATGTGTCGATTAAAATGGAAACCAAATATGAAATCACCTGTATATTTCATCAAGAACCCTTTCTATCTCTTGGTTGAAATATCGACCTACTCCCAACTTTTCAAGTGTATCAATCATGTAAAGCCGAGCGTATATAGTTGAGGGATATAACGTGGGTACTAGACAGTATTAAAAAATAAAATTATTACGATGAAAATAGGATAAATAACTCTAAAATAATGTCAAAAATTGTTGTTAGAGAGATTAGTACCCCAGCCATTATGAATTTGCAA